TCTTTCTTTCTTTCTTTTTCTTTCTTTCTTTCTTTCTTTCTTTCTCTCTCTCTCTCTCTCTCTCTCTCTCTCTCTCTCTCTCTCTCTCTCTCTCTTTTTTGCCAGTTGAGATAAATGTGTCTATTTTTGTTCAAATAGTTCATAAAGGAACATGGACACTTGTGTTTATATATTTATTTAATTATCTATTTATCTATCTATTTATATAGTCAGTTGAGATAAAATGTGCCCATCCTTGGTAATATATTTTTTAATGAAAGACATTGTTTAAGATGTCAAAATGTTGTTGGATTTTTTGTGTCAAGAAGTATATTTTAATTACTCTAAGACAGTACACATGTTCAGATATGTTAAAATGTCTTACCATATATAAAATGCAGTTACACTTAGGATTTGTCAGAAAACACTGACTTCAGCACTATGAACACATAGGCAGATTGATCACAGCAAGAAATTTGTCTTTTAGTGGTCCTTTACCTCAATAAATATCAGTGTTGAAAATCTGATTCAGTGGCCAAGTGTTTCCATCAGGAAGCCTTAGTTTCAATCTTCAGTACTGAAAAAAGTGTAGTTACCAATTTCAGATATTTTCAATCCTATTATTTCCTAATAATAAACAAAAACAAATACTGACAGTATATATATATATATATATATATATATATATATATGTTCTTAATTTAATTTGTGGTTCTTGTTATGCCAAATTCATGACTCAAAGAAAAAAAGAGTTCTCTTCAATTAGAAATTAACATGGGAAAGAGTTGTCCCAAGGGTAGAGAACATTCCTATTTAAGTAGAATGCTGTGTTATGACAAGAGAATATATTTTAGAAGGTGTTTGAGCTTTGTTTTTAATAAGGAAAAATTCTTGAGCTTATAAAAAGAAATTATTTTTATCATTTTACTATTGTATGTCAATAAATCAAGGTAAGAACTATAATTTACCAAATTCCAAACAAAATAGACAATATTTGACTGATAAAAAGTTTGTGTTCCTGTATTTTTATGTTGTTAATATCAGCAATTTGTATAAAAATTGAACAACTAATTAAAAAATGAATGATTTACTTTTGGTTAAGTTTCAAACATTACTTCAGCTTGGCTTTATCCCATTCTTCTGTTATTTGATGATATATCATCCAGAGCAAACAGCATATACAATCCTTTTTAATATGAAAGACTAATACATTAAGGATCACAGTCATCAACATCAACATAATATGTGCTGAAGTGTATTACATTATTAATTTCCTCTAAGCATATATAAAATTTTCGATGACATGACATGACATCTGAGGAACATATATCATGTAATTCCTTCTATCTACAATAGAGAATTAAAATGTAGAATGATGATCATTGACATGGGCTTGACACCTATAATGGTCAAAACAGCTCCCAGTGGCAAAATGTCAAGATCTATCAGAAGTGAATCTGAAAATGTTATAGAATTATTGCATATTGTCATTTGGTCAGGAAATTCTTCAAAATTAAGGCAATTATACATACATACATATATATATACACAAAATGGATATGTATAATACACATATCCATTTTGATACAGTATTTTTTTAGATTATAATATAATTATCACATAAATGGACTTAAAGACAAAAATTGTATGCTCATCTCAATAGAAGCAGAAGAGTCTGTATCTACCTTTATTTTTATGTTAATTTTAATTTATAAATTTCATTAGTGAAACATAATACAATGTGTAGTAAATGTTTTAATTAATACCACAAGGTGTACATGAAAAATATTTGTGTCGTAGGTGATAACAGCTAATATTCATAAAGTATTTAAATAAGAAAAAATACATGTAGTTACTTGAAATTTCTACTGAATTTCTTTCTTAGCATAAAAATGAGAGTCTGATGGTTTTCAGCTGTCACACCTGCACACACACAGACATGAGAGACAGAGACAGAGAGAAGAATGTTGAATGGTTTGAGGAAGTTTGTTTTAGTAATTTGTGTACATAACTTGCATAGAGTAGTTGAGGAAATAGCTTGGAGGTAGACTGTTCGCCTAGCTGTGGCTTAGACTGTTGCACCACCAACAAATAAATGCCACAGCCACTGTAGGCAAGTTATGTGCACAAACTGCTAAAACAAACTTCCTTAAATCACTTAACATTCCTCTCTCTGTCTTTCTGTCTCTCTTGTGACTGTGTGTGCAGGTGTGTCAGCTGAAAACATTTAGACTCTCATTTTTATGCTGAGAAAGAAATTCAATAGAAAATAAAGTAACGATAGGCATTTGTTTTTATTTAAATACTTTATAAACTACAGGGTAAGTACTATTTGTAAAAAAAAAAAAAACCTGTAATTAATATATCTTTTGGTTTGCATACAGTATCAAAGAATTCAATAGACATAAAAAATATGAATTCTGATTGCATAGATTTTACACAAAACTTTCAAAATTTTAAATGTAAAATAGAATCTCATCAAATCTGGTGCTTAGTTTATCATGAATTTTGCAATAAATTGCATATATGTAGTACTATTGGGATAAGAGGGTTTAGAAAACCACATTAAAACATTGAAGAAATATTTTGCTAGATAATTTTTAAGTGAATAAAGAATATTTAATTATAATAAAATTGATTTGTGATAATCACAGGAAACAATTTTGGAAGAAAATTAGGTAGCCAACTGAAAATGAAATCATTAATTCATAATGTGTCACTTTGAATATTTAGATAATAATTTAAGAGTATGTGTCCTTGTGTGTCATTAACAAATATATATATAATGTACTCAGTACAGAGGTGGAAAACAGTAGCATTTACCTCAAAGGTACATTTAGTGAAAAAGAATATATGTCATGACCCAGTCTGAGTTCATATATATATATATATATATATATATATATATATATATATATATATATATATATGTGTGTGTGTGTGTGTGTGTGTGTGTGTGTATGTATGTATGTATATTCGTAAGCAGAACTGAAAACCATGCGAATACAACAACATTTCTGAATGAAACAATTAAACCGAGGATAAGGAAGTGTACTTCTGGTTGAATCATCCCCACAGATGAAACACACAGACATTAAGGAAGAGGACAATACTTCCGCAGAGACCCAGTTTCTCCTCCTTGGATTCTCTGACCTTCCCAACCTTCAGGGCTTTCTGTTTGGGATGTTCTCCATAATATACTTAATTATCCTAACTGGAAATGGCTTCATAATTTTAATAACCAGGATTGATCCTGCACTACACAAACCCATGTATTTTTTCCTGTCAAATTTTTCTTTTCTGGAAATCTGCTATGTATCAGTCACCCTACCTAGGATTCTGTATAGCATTTGGACCCAGGACAGAAGCATTTCTCTTCTGGCTTGTGCCACACAAATGTGTTTCTTTCTAATGCTGGCAGCTACTGAAAGTATTCTTCTGGCTGTGATGTCCTATGACCGCTATGTGGCTATCTGCAACCCTCTGCACTATCCTCTGGTCATGAACCCAACCAAGTGCACAAAGCTGGCAGTGGGCTCCTGGCTTGGTGGCATGCCATTCCAGCTAGGGCAAACCTGTCAGATATTCTCTCTACATTTCTGTAACTCTAACCAGATAGATCACTTCTTCTGTGACATACCCCCTGTACTTAAGCTGGCCTGTGGAGACACTTCTGTTAATGAACTGTATGTCTATGTAGTAGCTATCTTGCTTGCCGCAATCCCTTTTTTACTAATATTAACATCATACAGCAAAATCATTGCCGCCATCCTGAAGTTGCCAACTGCTGAAGGGCGGGCAAAAGCCTTCTCCACATGTTCTTCCCATCTGGTGGTGGTGGTTTTGTTTTTTGGCTCTGCATCTATTACCTACTTAATGCCAAAGTCAACACATTCTGCAGTAAGTGACAAACTCCTTTCCCTTTTTTACACCATTCTAACCCCCATGTTCAATCCCATGATATACAGCCTTAGGAACAAGGATGTGATTGTAGCTCTGAGAAGATTATTGCTTAGAACATAGTGCAATGGACTATGTACACTGATTGTATTGTGACCACAGTTCTCACATAGACTGTTACATGTATATTTGCCCTTTTAGATGTTAATTACTGTTATGATCTCTATGTTACTTCTGAAAGTTAGTAGAACAGTATTTTGCATAGAAATACACTAACCAAATTGTTATATTGTTGATGTTGTATGACTATTGAAACTTTTTAATTAAATTTGTGCCTTGACAATTTTTACTTGTGTGTAATACATTCCCTATTCCTCTCAAAACTCAATTTCTGTATCCAAACCCTTCCCCACATGTACTTCTTTTTGTTTTCCTGATCTATTGAGCTTAACTGAGGCCCTCTGTGCTACCCCAGGTTTGAATGTATTATGTATAATCAACTGAAGGCATTGATCCCTGCTCTCACTGAATTTGTTAGTAGGTAGGATTTCTGTAGGTAGAGTAAGTTTCTCCCTCATTTTCTTAACTTGTTCTTGATAGGGCTAGTTTCATTCAGACCTAGTGAAGGGAAAAGCACCAGCCATATGTTCAAAATCTCATTGGCTTTGTCATGCCCTGGTGCTGGTGTTTGTAGCTATTTGCCCCATCCTGTCACTCTTCCATTAATTTGGTGTCCCCTTTTTTAATATTCCTAGAACTGTAGTTATACAGATGTCTTAGTATACAGATGTCTAACTTAGTATTCAATTATTACTTTTTGTCAACAGTTTAAGTAGCCATGGACACATGCATTCACCATGAATTAAATGTAATGTATATCACAATTTGGATATGAAAACAATAAGCTGAATCAGTCTGTTTTCATGTGACATATTACAAGCCTAAATTACTTACTTTAACATTGTCCCTAATCTTCACATTTGTATTTCCTGCTATATTTTTTTGCTTAGTATCACATTATACTTAACAATTATAGTATTGTTAAGCACATCAAATATTTTAAAAGGATAGATTAAGTTAATTGCTAAATTGAAACTTGCTGTTTTCAATCAGAATTTTGGCAAACTTAGAGGTTATAAAGCAATGAACCTTGAAAGCAACATTGAGCATACTATGTATCTCAGTAAGATTGCTGAACTCATAACAAAGTAAACTTAAACTTATTTTCAAAACTTCGGGTAACTGATAATATATTCATTTAATTCTACATCTATACCATAAATGTTTGGCAATATTATAGAATTTGATTTATAAGTGTCCTGACGATCTGTATCTAGAATACATATTTCTTCCCATCCCTACACCACCCAATTTTATATATAATATGTGTGTGTGTGTGTGTGTGTGTGTGTGTGTGTGTGTGTGTATCTTGCATATGCTACCAATTTATAAAAGGTACATGCAAATACATAATATACTTTGAGTAGACTTCCTCCTAATGTCCTACCTTTTCTGTCTTCTTGGCCTCTCTCTCTCTCTCTCTCTCTCTCTCTCTCTCTCTCTCTCTCTCTCTGTCATTCTCCATTACACACACACACACTCACTCACTAATATATGTAATATATATGTATATATATATATATATATGTATATATATATATATGTGTGTGTGTGTGTTGAAATATATATCCATATAAATAAAATATAGAATCCACAAATGAGGGGCTGGAGAGATGGTTCAGAGGTTAAGAACTTTGGCTGTTCTTCCAGAGGTCCTGAGTTCAATTCCAAGCAACCACATGGTGGTTTGCAACCATCTATAATAAGATCTGGTGCCTTCTTCTGGAATGCAGGCATACATGCAGGCAGACACTATATACATAATAAATAAATAAATATTTAAAAAAAGAATTCACAAATAACAGAAAATAAGAAATAAATGATATTTCATAAATGACAGAAATAAAGTCAAATATTTCTGAGGAAGAACTAATTAACTTATAATTTTTTTCAATTGTATATATTTTTTATAAAGAACTTAATTTGTTTCTTTCATGGTTGCCATAACATTTGCTGTTTGTACATATGTCACATTTTCTATAGTAATTCCATTTTCAAATGATACTTAGTTTGGTTCTCAAACTTACCTATTAAGAATAGTACTGCAATGAACATGGATATGCCAATACCTCAATGATCTGTTGATATAGAAGCATTTGAACATTACCCTAAAGTGCTGTTGATTGATTTACTTTAAGTTTGGAAAAAAAAAAATAATGATCCTTTACATACAGCCTAGACAGTTTCGCATTCTACCAAAGTATAAAATGGTTCTCTATTTTTTCTCTTGTTTTCATCAGTTTTGGGTGCTTCTTTCTTTCAGTTAGATTTTTCTATTTATGTGTATTTGTGTATACCTGTGTGAGTTTAAGTCCAACACAGGATGGCAGGTGCCACAGGAAGTCAGAAAAGGGTGTTAGGTACTTTGGAACTTTAATTGTTCCTAATTGCTAAGCTACCATTGCAGCCCTGTTACTTGTTTTCCTAATGATTAAAATTCACAGTGTGTCAAAATACAATCTCAGTGTAGCTTTTATCCATGTGTTCTTGATGGCCAATGAGGCAGAACACTTTACTCTGTGTGTAGTGAGCATCTGTATTTCATCTTTTGTTAACTGTCTGTTTCAATAGCCTGTTTATATTTTGGATAATTTAAAAATATTTTCTTTTAGTTTTTTTAGTCTATATATTCTAGATATTAACTATGCCAGATCTATGGCTAATAACGATACTTTATATTCTGTAAATGTTTCTTCAACAGATTGTTTCATTTGCTGTAGATACACTTTTTCATTTAATGTAATCATTCTTTGTCATTTTTAGTAGAGTCCTAGTGAGGAAGTTATACCACTTTCTTGGTCTGGTGTATCATCTAAGTTCTTGGGTATCATTTATAGGCCTGGTTTTCTGGAAAAATCCTTTTTAAAACCTTTACTATTGACATGATGTTTAATAAAATTTTGAGGCCTCTAGCATATTTCCTATCAATAGTTTATTGATCTCATCATTACCTTGTGCTAGAGGGCCTGGCAGATGGGGTGGGATTAGATGTGAGTTATATATAATGAATGCTTCCTATTCCTGATTATATCTTGTAACTGAATAAATAACAAATTTAATTTTGACTCATCAGGGATAAATTCTGCAGTCTCAATATGTAAGACCACCCTTTCAGCATCCCAAGAGTCAGTAACTATTTTGAGAGGTTCCAAAAAATACATTAATACCAATAGAATAACATACAATTCCGATTTTTGAACCAAAAATAGTTTCTCTATTGTTAAAGGCCATTGCCAAACCCATACAGGTTTGTATGTTAACCATTTTTAAGGTTTGTGTAACTCATTTGAAATGGTAATGGATAATTAAGAAATGCAGAGTAATATTTAGTCTTCTATGATAGTCAACTTATAGTCAGTTTAAGTTTTTTAGGTATACATAGATATAATTCAATCAGGGAGGTAATCTTCAGACACTTCAAAGTCCTACAGAATATGGCATTTAAAATGTTTTAAGAACTTTTACTTCCTGGACATTGAGACATGTCTGCTCCTGGCAGCACCAATCTACTTCAGAGAAGATAATAGGTACTGAAGAAACTCATTGTTAAGTTTGCTTTCTTTGTGGCAAAATTTAGCCACTGGGCAAATAGGTGCCCTTGCATTGACTGTTTGATGATATGTTATATTGACTGGACATGCAGGACCCATAAGAAAGTGACCACTTAACTTTGCAAGGTAAGATGTCAGAGAAACCCTGTCTCGAAAAACCAAAAAAAAAAAAAAATAAAAAAAAAAAATAAAAAAAAAAATAAAAAAGATGTCCTTCAGGTTCCTGCTTCACAGAAGAAACTGCCAGACATTCTACAGGACAGAGGAAAAAAATGACTGAGAGACTAGGCCTATGGATTGAAGATGGATGTCCCAACATTACAGAGGAACTTCGGGTTAACTGTCCAGGCAGGCAGCAGTTTGTCATTACAGATTTTTTAAAGTTGCTTATAATGCTCTTCCTGTTTATGTAGGTAATATTGTATCCTTCTGAGGTCTTTGATGTAGCTGAGTACTAGATAGTTATAATTTTCCTTAGTTATGATAAAAGATCAGTTAGATATGAAACCTTAGATGCACAAATACAGAAAAAATAGAATATTTTCTTTGAATTTTCCAAATATAGATATTGTAACTGTAATTCTTGCTTGATAACTGTTTTGTTATGTGTAATTTTAATAGGTTAAAGTTAAAATCTTCCTTTTTAATTAAACAGAAAAGGGGAGATATTGTAGAATAATGCTTTTGTACACTGGTTTAATAAAACACTTATTGGCCAACAACCAGGTAGGATAAGCAGACAAGGAGAATTCTGGGAATAGGAATGCTGAGTCAAGAGATGCCAGCAAGCCACCCAAGGAACAACATGTAATGGCACACATGTAAAGCCATGGAACATGTGGTGATAAATAGATTAATAATTATGGACTAATTTAAGATACAGAGCTAGCTAGCAAAAGCTTGAGCCATGGCCATGCAGTTATAATTAGTATAAGCATCTGTGTGTTTATTTGGGGGATGTGAGTGGGAGAGATTTGTCCTGACCACTGGCAGGCTGTGACACAGGAAAACTTCCAGCTACAGGCACCATTTGATGAAGGCTATGTTGAAGCCTGTGGTCTTCCTTAATTGGTAACCTGCTTATGATGACCAAGCTGAGGCTCAGGCTCATTTTAATGTACAGTACAACATTCTGTTTCTCTTGAGATGCTCACAGGTTGAGGACCATATGTTAACCCTGTCAGACAAACCCAAATTTAACAACATGCTTATTTACCTGCCTCATGAGACACCATTGCCCTTGGTACATTGGAGGGATCCCTTCACCCTTCAATAGCAACGCCCTGCTCCCCTACTAACCCAGGGGTAGGGTATTTTTGCATTTTTTTCCTGAGAATACCAACATGTGGACATGGATTCCCTCCAGAGATGTGCATCTGAAAACAGTCCAAGAGACACTGGCTAAAGAAGCTTCAGAAGGGTAATGTATAATTTGCTGCACTACTGCAGCATTAGTAAAGGTCATGTCATCACTGGCATG